TTCCTTCATTTATCTGTATTATGGTATCGTCTTCATTACAAAATAATAGCTCAGGCAAGACTGAGAATATAAGAGCAATCACATATAAAAAGTGTTTTGCTTTTACCATTCTGGAAAGATTGTTTATGAACGCTAGGTTAATCTTTGTTAGGCCATGCAACGTGGCTCAAAAAAGGTGTGGCAGGCAGTTTTATGATCCATAAAGCTTTTTTCCAAACTTTTATACTCTCATTATTTACATTCAATAGATGTTAGATACAGCCAGCTGCTGTGAGAAAGACCCATCAGATGTACTGAGATTTATGGCCTGATTTTTAAAGGTATTTAGGCGCCTACAGCTGCAGATAGGTGCCTAGTAGATTTTCGAAAGCATATGAATTTTTATGCACCTAAAATACCTTTAAAAATCTAGCTCTTTCTCTTTAGATTCCTTATAATACAGTTACTGTAGACATGGGCTTGTCCCTTGAACTTGTTTGGGTTGTTCTACTGCTCACATTGACCCAAACTCCATGTATAATGGGAATAACAGCTATTTGCCTGGTGGAAAATAAAAAGATAACTAAATTTGCCATTCTTGGTGCTCAAAAGCCACCTTATTAAAATCAAGATTTGTAAGGCACACATAGGATTTGGCTCTTACTCGCGTCTGATCATTGATCAGGCCTTGATACTAAAAATCTGACAGAATCTTACTCGTGTGGTCTTCCCCTAGGAAAGTACTTAAGCATGTGCATAAATCCCATTGACTTCATAGCAATTTATGCACATGCTTAAGTGCATTCCAGAATCACAGCCTAAAGCAGAACCTCTCAGAGGGCTTTCTGCTGAGTTATACTTCATTCTTGATAGATAAATCCAGATTTTAAGACCCAAGCTCAAAAATAAGGGCCAGATCCATTTCTGGTGTGACCTTATTAAAATCAATGAGGTTATGCCAGAAATGAATTTTGTCCATACAACCCAAAAGGCTTGTGGTGTTGTTTTTTTTAATTTATAGTTTATCTTAAATCTGGAAGAAACTAAAAAAGGTGGAGAGCATTAATATATCAACAAAGCAAGAAAGTACTAAGAATACTCTGCTATTGTTACTCTAACCAAAGTGCAACTTTCAAACACATTACTACTCAAGTCCTGCAGGCTATTTGTTAGTACTTATTTAGGGAAAAACCCCACTGGCTTAAATGCAAGTTTTGCCTGAGTAAGGCCCAAGACCTGGAAGAATTGACCTTATACTTACATGAACTAAAATAAAATCAGAGTGTTATCTGCTTTTGGAAACTCGCTATATTAGAAAACATAGATGCTACTTGCATAGTTTAATGTCAAGCTATCCTAGACATCAGGGTGGAACTTAGTAAAAGTTGCTTCATTTCCTCCTGCTGAATTAGTTGATCCTGCTAACTGATTTGATTAAAGCAGTTTTACCCCAAGTAATTGGTGTGGTTACTGGCCACTCAACGCAGCTTTTGGTGGCTAATTAATAAGTCAGGTAACTTGCCAGAAGTAAGTATTTTTATAATATCAAGAGGAGGTAGATTTTTTTTCTCAGTTGTTCCAGCCATGTTTTTTAAAACAATCAGATAAATTCACCTTGTTTTTAATGGCCTGAAGCCTGATAGCTCTGCACATTCAATAGGTAATTTAATCATCACTGGTGTGGATGAACAAAAACGCAAATTAACTCCTGAAAGGCTTAGTCTTCCCTTAGACAGCTCTGCCTTTCCACTCTTATGCAGGCACTGAGCTTCACCAACTGGTTAGCTGGAGGTGTTATTAAAAATTTACAGAGAGAAACAAAGGTGTGCTCTGGTGTCTCCTATTACCCTTTCTACTGTTACACTGGCAGACAAAAGGTCTGGAACCTGCTTCATGAATAATGAATCATGTAATATGCATAATGCATTTTTAATGGAACTAAGTAATAACATTAAGACAGATATTTGCAATCTTCAAATTTACACTCTAACAGTCTCAGTAATTTGTTCTGATTCTTCACCAGTTAGCTTATTAAAGTTATTTTTGCCCATTCATTTCAAATAGCTAGCCTTGAAATTGTCATTCTTTATGGACCTGAGCCTGCGCTTCTTTGAAGTCAAGGGAAGACCTCCTACTGGCATCCCTGGTAAAGAATCCAGCGTTGTATGCACAGTAGAGGGAATTTGTCACTATTCTGAATCCTGGTGGCCTTGCTTAATTTTAACTTGGTCCTTTCACAAGTAAAACCCACCCTGGTTGTGATGGGCCACATGCCTGAGTAAAGACTGAATAAGGACTTCTAGATTTGGTCTATAGATAGCAGGAAATTTTAAGGAGAAATCTATTTTTCAATCAGTTCATTGTATTTCCCTCTGTAAAGCACCCAAATCACTACACTTTTTAGGCTCTTTGGTTAGCCTGCCAGGCTTGACCTTCTTACTTCTCCCCTAGGCTAGGCTAGGCTTCTGTCAACATTAGTCCCTGGCTAGACATTGTTCAGGTAGAGCCCCTGCATCCCAGTTCAATGCTGCAACCTGGTACCTAAAACTTGCATTTGCCATCAACCAAATCAAGGTAAGTGCTGAAGGTTCAGGCTACCTGAAGCACTGGGGAGCTCTAAAGTGCTTTAATTTGGAGTTATCTTTCTGACGATGGTGAGTCTGCTCATGAGTGAAAAGAATCCCTCTGAAGAGTGAAAGCGGAGAGTATTTCTGCTGGAACTGAAATCTGAGGTCAGCAGGAGAGTCCCCACTGTGAATTCACTTATCAATATTCCAGCCTCCATTCAACGTCTGCTTACTGGTTTTCCTCTAAAGCCAATTTAAAATATTTTCTTGTCACCTACATCCAGCCTACACCTCATTCCCCATAACTTGTCTCTCACTAGTGCTGCCTCCAGTGCTTCCCGCTATGCCTGGACTATCCTGGGTCCTGTAGGCCATGTCACCTCTTTCTCTCTTCCTTCAAATACCTTCCCAAAACCCACTTTTCCCACAATTCCTCTAACAATTACCTGATCTCCTGTGCCAAGCTTATTGAGTATCCCTCCCTACATGAACTATTACCAAGATGTATTATTGTGCATACCCTTCCCCATCTCTGCTTGGCCTGCTGTGACCCTGTTCCTTTGTGTCATGTCTTTCTGTGCTTAATAAAGGCCCCGACCATGAAAGCACTCATACATGTAATTTGATGCATTTGAGTAGTCCCACTGATTGAGTTCAATGGGCCTCCTTGTGTGTAAATTTACTCACATATGTATCTGCTTGAGGAGAGGGCCTTCAATTGACAGCTCTGTGAGAAAGGGCTCATGGGTAAAATTTTCAAAAGTGAATCTGTAACTTAGGTGCAGATTTTTAAAGGTACTCAGGCATTGCTGCACTCACGGTTGCAAGGCCTAAGTGACTTAAGAACATTAGTCTCATTTGATTTCAATGGGAGTTGGGTGCCTAAATACCTTTGAGGATCTAGGTCTTAGTGCCTACGTCCCATTGACTTTCAATGAGACGTATGCTCCTAAGCCCCTGTCTCTTAGCTTCTTAAATTTTTAGGGCATTTTTGAAAATCTGCCCCATGTGTAAAGTGCCATGCCCGCCTATCACAATATATATGGATCACTTGATGATTACCTGTTCTGTTCATTCCTTCTTGGGCACCTGGCATTTGCCACCGTCGGAAAACAGGATACTGAGCTAGATGGACATTTGGTCTGACCCAGTATGGCCATTCTTATGTTCTTATACAATGTTGCATAATAATAAAGAGTGAAATTTCCTAACTCTGTTGAACTTCAATGAAAATAACTATAGAGGATCCTCAATACTTTATTAATTTAAAACATTATTCCAATAAATATGTACCAATAAACATAAGACACTCCATAAAATCTAAATAAAGACATTTACAATCCTGCCAACAAAGTAAAAACAGCATATTTTTCCACTGAGGTACACACAGGGTCATTTAAGGCAAATTCAATCAATTACAGGTTCATAATTATTCCTGCCCACCCTCGGCATGGTAGCATTTAAAAATAAAAATAAAAAACCCTAATATACAAACAAGTCTATCAGGAACTTGTCAGCTCCTTCCCAGTTATTTATAATCAAACCCAGAGTGCTGGTGCTGATGGTCATTCTGGACAGAAAGCCCGTGCCTGCTATTTGGTCCTGTTCTTTTCAGTCGGGGCAATCTGTTGTTCTCAGGAGTTCCTAGTTATAAGGCATTACTCTGTGCTTTGGCTTTTCCTGTTGAGTCCTTCATAGGCTTCTCCTTCCCCAACTGATGTAGAGCAAAATCCCAACCTTTTCAGACAAGCAACCCCACTCCTAACACACACACACACACACACACACTCACCCAACCAGGCCTTGTCTATACAGACAGACAGAGAGAGCTGGAAGGACAGGAGACAAGGGCCTGACTCTCTTCTCACACCAGTTTTACAGCAGTGTAAGTCCCGATTTACACCAGTGTAAGTGAGATCAGAACCAAGCCCAAGCTGATTCCTTGGTGCTGAAAGCTGCGAGATATCAGTCCAGCTCCTCCACTACAAGCCCTCCAGACAGAGAATGATCAATAAAGCTATTTAACAGTTAAACTCAACAAAAGCAAGCACTTTTCATAACATTACCTAACAGCTCAGTGTGTTTATCATGTAAACTCTGTTTCCCTGCAAGTTAATTTCAAAAATAAAAAGATGAAGGAATTCATCTTTGCCATGGGTGAAGGACTTTCCAGCTCACCGATATTTTCTAGCTTATCCACACTTGGAGCTTCAGGTTTCAGATGGAAACATTTATTTTCCAGTGTTGTGAGAGAGAAAGCCCAGCCTTTCAGATCCACTTTCAGAGTCCTTCTGGTTGAACTTTCAAAGCTGTGTCCCATCCTATCCTCCCTGAGATCCTTCCCCAAAAAGTAATGCCAGGGTCTGTGCTAACGGGCATGATTCAGGGCCATCAGGGAAGCAAGGGAGTCTCTTTACATAGTGTTGTAGGTGCTTTCTGTATCGCAGCTGGGTCTCATTTCAGACCGTGTTGTGTCTCCCGATGTCTCCTTAAATCCACCTTCCTCTGGAAGCCTTTGCCACATAGATCGCAGCCAAAGGGCTTGAAGCCGGTGTGCTTACGACTATGGGTGATGAGGTTGGAGCTCTGGCTGAAGGCTTTCCCACACACCTGGCACTTGTGGGGCTTCTCACCTACAAGGAGAAGGGGATAAAGAGGGCAGGCCCCATATTAGACAATCAACATAGCATCCAGGCAGATCCAGGACAAACGAGCCATAGTCAATGCGCCCCATGCTTTGAAGGGATTACCACGCTGCAATATTGTCATCTCTAAGTGACCACAGAACAGGGTCACTCTCCCTAGGACAATACTATGGGTGAAATTTTACCCCATTTAAGTTAATGGCAAAACTCCCTTTGATTTCAATGGGGACAGGACTTCAACCTATGTCTCATTTCAGTAATGTATGTTACCAGATTCTGGTCTCGCTTATGCCAGTGTAATTCCAGAGTAAATCCATCAGTTGATTTAGAATCTGGCCAAAGATTTGGCCAATAAAGTCCAATTTAAAAAAAACTGATTATCTTTCTTCTTCTCTTCCCCCATCCCATTTTACTATTTAAATGGTTCAGCTGAACCAAATTTTTCAAATGTATCCACTAAAGTTTAGTTTGTCTCAACTTGAGACAAATTCTAAGTCAGTTTACTCTGAAGTTACACCTGAGTAAATGAGACAACTTTATAATAATAATATTTAAGTTTGTTTTTCACAACCACGTGTGACCTTTTTGAAAGTCAAATACTTTGACAAACAGCACTGATTTTATATATGTATATTCAGATCACTATCATTTTCGATGATTTAAATCCATGATGCTAGCAGTTTGAAAGGGAAGCTTTATTTTTAAAGATCCCTGAGAAAACCTGCTGCCTCTTTCAACAACATTCTTTGAAAAATGCTTTCCTTGAGTAATTTATCTGCAGTGTATTAATTTCCATATTCATTATCACCAACAATGAAACTTGAGAACTATGCACCTCTCCTCCCATTATATGCCAGACTGCAACCATTTGATTGGAAAGTCCGGGTGGAAGCCCAATAGATAGATAATCTCTGAGTAAATATTTAGACTGAGAGTTGGACCCTGGGCCCTTGAGTTTAGTGTTTAATCTAGAGGAGGAGGCTGCTGCTGCTGCTATTGTAAAGTGGCAGGCTATGCAGATGGAGATGCAGCAGTCAGATTCACCTGTCATTTTCCAAGGGCCATAGCTCTAAATCAAGGCCATATGAATATACTGCTCTACAAATCATCTTACAGAGAAGCCCTTCTGAATAACCACAGGGAGGATCCTATTAAAGCAACACTGATTGGACAGTGAGGATTTCAGGTATTAAACAGAGGCTGTTCATGAAACCAAGTTCAAATTTCCCTTCTTTGCACCATTGCTCCGCTTGGGTTTCCACAATTTGAGCTACCCCGGTAGGGCAAGGGCCCGGCAGAGGGAGCTGCATGCACTGGTCTGGCTGAAGATGAATGGATTGGTGGGAGGAGAAAATCTACTTTTCAGAATCTATTCTAATGAATAGGGGCTGAACGCCAGCTGCTGCAGGGCTGACCTGTGTGAATGAAAGTGTGTTTCTTCATGTCAGATTTCTGGTGGAACCGTTTCCCACAGTACTGACACGGGTAGGGCCGGGTGTCCGAGTGAATGAGCAGGTGGGTGGACAGGGTGGAAGATCTCTTAAAGCTCTTGCCGCAGATCTTACAATCAAAGCTGCGTTCCTGCAGAGAGAGGAAAGACACACACCCCGTTATGCCACTCCCAAGATCTCTTCGCAATGCAGTTAGCCTGCCAGTGCATTAACAAACACCCCATCCCAGGAACCACATCCTCCTCCCCAGTACCCACTAGGCCCAGTGGAGGCACTAACCTTGGCATTACTGCCCCACTTGGTAAAACACATCCCTGATTCACAGTCAGATAAATTCACCTTCCTCCCAATTCTATGCACCACTCAGTCCTAGTAATGTAATGGAACGGCTCTTCCAGACCAAGGGACTGTGTGGGACTAGCTACTTTGGTGCCCCAGACTTTGCACTACATATGTGCACATTCCAGGGGGCTCCAATGGAGAAGCCATAAGACTTCGCTGAGCAGCCTGATGGCCACAATACAGCACAGTGGGGCATTTGGTTAATGACATTGCAAGGTACAGGACCCCACCTGACATCTTAACAGTGCTGAGGACCGTGGGAAAGTGAGGCATTGAGGGGAACTTTTGGATTGGGTTGAATTCTGTTGGGCAGTTATTGTTTGCTGCTAGCTTAACTTTTCATCAACATTCAGGTCAAAGGTGCCTAGGGCTTTAAGATCAGAACCTTTCTGGTTGTTAATATTTCTATAAATCAAAATACATACACTGGAACCACCACTACCTCTCCCTCCACTCAACTTCCCGTCAGATCTTTAGACGCCCCATCACGCACTCCTCTCCTCCTTTCACCTATGCTCCCTCTGTAGACACCCCATCGCAAAATCCTCTCTTCCTTCAAGTATCAGGGGGTAGCTGTGCTAGTCTGTATCTACAAAAACAACAAGGAGTCTGGTGGCACCTTAAAGACTAACAGATTTATTTGGGCATAAGCTTTCGTGGGTAAAAACCTCACCTCTGCATCTGAAGAAGTGAGGTTTTTATCCACGAAAGCTTATGCCCAAATAAATCTGTTAGTCTTTAAGGTGCCACCAGACTCCTTGTTGTTCTCTTCCTTCAGTGCTTCTTCCCCTACCACACACTCCTCTCTTCTCCCAGCACTCACTCTCCTCCTCCAAGGCCATGTTATGCTTTTCAGACACGTCTGCTTTAAGTCTGTATTTGGCAGGCAGCATTTGCTTGTTGTGCTCGGCCCCAAATGCTTCCTCCTCAGGGTTTGAATACACTGAATTGCTCTTTTTTCCACTGTTTAACTGGCGATATTTCCCTTCCTCAGACGCCTTGCAGTCGCACACTCATTCACTTGCAAATAAAACAGCAAACAAGTCTCTCTGTAACTCTGTCCTCCTGAAGCTGACTTTGGGAGGGAAGATTTGCCAGGCCAAGTGAGTGGGTGAAGGGAAAATATGGTACAATATCAGCAGGTGGAAAAAGTTACAAATCCTCCTACCAAAATTAACGACCATATTCTTCTTGTGTGTGACTCAGATCACGTTGAGATGGGTGAAGTCTGCTCGCTACACATGATTGGGTATTCAGGTGTTCCCTGCACACACACACACACACACACACACACTAACTAAAAAGGAGGGCAGATTCACTCCTTTTGGGGCAGGGCTGCCCAGAGGGGGGGGGCAAGTGGGGCAATTTGCCCCAGGCCCCGGGCCCCACAGGGGCCCCCATGAGAATATAGTATTCTATAGTATTGCAACTTTTTTTTATGGAAGGGGCCCCCGAAATTGCTTTGCCCCAGGCCCCCTGAATCCTCTGGGTGGCCCTATTTTGGGGGAGAGCTGGAGGGTGGAGACAATGAGTTTCTTTAACTGCTACAAAAGTCCACCATCCTGCTGCAAGGTCCTGACTTTGGGTGAGAGTGAGACACAAATTCATGACATGAACAGTTGTTTTATTTGTAAAGTACCATAGGTGTCCATAGCTCATTACAGACAAACACGGGGCCTGGGAAGTGTGGAGGAAGTTTTGTTAATTTCATTCTCAGTGTTTATAGTGCCTGGATCCCAGATGCCTACCTGTCACCATGTTCTCCTCATTCAATAGCCCACCTGCCACTGTGCCCCCATCAGCCTCAGCACTCTCCTTCCTCTGAAAGACACTATGCCTCTCTGACCCCCTCACCCTGAGTGCTTTCCTGCACCATGGCCCGCTCACCCTAAGTGCCATCTACCACCATTCAGTTGCCTCAGCTGCCTCTTTGGTTCTGTACCCACGGCCCTGGCTACCTGCCTTAGCACTGCATGCCCCCACCAATGTGCCTGCCCTGCTCTTACCTGGGAGTGCACAGTCTTGTGCTGCTCCAGGCTGACCGCATGGCCGAAGGTCTTGCCACACATGTCACAGGCAAAGGGTCTGGTGCCGCTGTGCGAGCGGCGTACATGCACCTCCAGGCCATGTGGGGTGGAGAAGACCTGAAGGGAGAGAGCACACAGGGGTCAGGCAGGCTAGCATGGGGAGGCAGGGGCTCGGATAGGACCGGAGTGGGGGAGGTCGGTTCCTACCTTGCTGCACTTGACGCACTTGTAGGAGCCAGTGCTGATCAGCAGTGGGCGGCACAGAAGCTCTGACTCCACCTTGATCCCACCTGGGCCTTTCTCCTGCTGCAGTCCAGGCTGGGCCTCTGCATAGAGGCCGGGTGTTGCTGCTGATGGCCGCTCGAAGAGTCCCAGCCCAGGGGAGCTGAAGTCACTGTAAAGTCTCAGTGCTGAGCCACAGTCTGTACCAAAGAGGGCAGACTCCGAGCTCCGCTCACAGAAGAGCCCCAGGGCTGAGCTACGCTCCAACGTTGGGCAGGGCCTGTAGTTCTGCACCAAATGCCTCAGCTCAGAGCTGCCCAGGGTGCTCCATGCATATGGCTTGAAGGGCACTGAGAATGGGGGCGCCTCATCCAGGGAGGGGCAGACAGAACGCTCAGATGCTGTGGAAACACAAGGGGAGGGAGCGATTAGTAGGGTTCATAGCCACCACCCATTGGGCACAAAGCAGCACCTCAGAAGCCCAACACAGGTTCCAAAGCCAGAAACCTATCAGTGCTGCACACTCGCTCACATGAGGGCTGCCTCTAACCTCTCACAAGGGGCGGGAGGGGGCTGTTAGCCTGCATAGCGCACTATAGGCTTAATGCATTCATTGCTCCACTCTGCACAGGCTGCCAAAGCCAGCTTTTCAAAAATGGCCACTCATTTGGGGTGTCTCAGTTTTTGGGTGGCCCACTTGGAAACTTTGGCTTGATTTTCACAGATGTTGCTCACCTGCATCTCCCTTTGACTTTGACTGGAGTTTTGGGTACTCAGCACCAATGAAAAACATACCCAATATGTGTCTCAGACTGGGCACCTAAAATTAATGGCTACATTTGAAAATTTGGGCCTAAATGACTAGGCAGTAATGTAAAGCACACATAATAAATAAATAAATAATAAGCCTAGCTCTTATATAACACTTTTCATATTCTCCTACACATACCATTATGGACATGCCAGTAGCAGCTCCCTAGTTAAAGGTGTGTTACGTTTTACACTTTTAGCAGAACTGAAATCCTTCTGTTTCCCAATTTAATGTCTGAATTAGTCTCCAGATTTGGCACCATAAGTCTTTAGAGGACAGTTGAATTGTCTCTGTAATGTTCCTCACTTTTGCAGAGGAAACATTTTAAAATGGTCTCTTGCTGAAATGGAGATGTGTAATGCTCACATTTCTCTGGGTTCCTTTAGTAAAACAAGCATGGGCTCCACAAACTCTGAACTTCGCAAACTCCAGCCCTGACAAATATTATGAAAACCGTACGCATAAGCCACATTTAAAATTAAAGACACAAAAGAGAGTGATTGCCCTTCTTGGTCATAACCTACATGAACTGCACCACAACAGACTGCTGGAGGCTCAGATCCATCACTTCTGTTTTGCCAACAAAACGAAAACAAACATGTTCGAGTTGTTTTGGGTTTTGTGCTTTGCCAAAATTTCCCAGCCAGCTCTAACCTGAGCCAGCAGTTCTGGTCATACCCCTGGTGAGGGAGATGGGCAGCAGGGATATAGAAATGGGCTCTGGGAAAGAGCTTGAGCTCCAGAGGGCCATGAGGATTGAGCAGGGAGAGCCAAGTTTGGAGGACATGGCTGGTCAAGTGGGACTTTTGAGAAACAGGGGGGTTACCAGAGATGTGCCAGGAGATGGGGAGGAAATAGGCTTGGGGCATGTGGCTCAGAGCTAGGACATGAGACATGAAGAGATGGAACCCAACTGTCTCAGCCCTGACACATTGGACCTTAAAGGGCTCCCTGAGTACTACTGCCTTGGCTCCCCACCGCACCAGCCAGCAGCACAGGGGGAGTCGAGTGTCTCTGTGCTGAGGCATCTGTGTATCAAGGGCTCTCCACAGCATAGCTACACTATGGACTAGGAAGAAGAGGCAACAGTGGAGAGTATTTAATTCACTCTTCACATGCTGATGCCTCCACATAAAGCCATTGGGCTTCATCACCTCAGGCTGCCTGAACAACCCCACCTCTCCCTCAGCCAAACACCTCTTCCTGCAAACTCCCACTTTTATATCCACAATTACTCCCCTGGCTCCTCACATCCCCAGTCAATTCCTGGCTTCCAGAGGCAGCCTCACACCCTCTCAAAAACCCCTTGACACACCAAGATGAGGGTAAAGATATGTGGCTATGTATGCTGTAAAGGAGGGAGTTGAGATGGAAAAGGAAACTGATGAGTGGAGATAGAGCGCTGAATGACTTGGCTCTTATTTCCTTGCTTTATGTTGGTGGGATATGCAGTCTAGAAACCTCACATCAAAATAAGGAAGATTTTTGTGTGGGAATACCCACACATAACACACACACTCACTCATACAAAATGGGTCTGTAATGCTGACATGATGGTGAACACGGTTTGTCCTGCTCTGCACTGACTGCAAAGCTGTGGTGAGCAGCATGTCAGCTTTCTCGGTTCTTCACAACCAGTGTCACAGTGTTGTCACCTATTGCAATTTGATCACAAGTCTCAAGAGTATTTGCTGGTTCTCTTAAAGCCCCAGCTTCCGGAAGGATGTGATTTCATCAGCATTTCAGCTTTCTTTCTGTTATTAAAGTAATTTTCAGACATTCATGGTTGGGGTGGAAAGCTTGAAAACATGACCCTTCAATGCTCCAGCACAAGAAGGCAAATCAAAATACCGCCAGGGCCTTATTTTTAAAATCTCATGATTTTTAAGACAGTCTCTTTATTTTTAGGGGTGGGGGAAGGGGATGACTTATGATTTTGACCCCTTGGAGTAGGCAATAGGGATGTGGTAACATTGGGTAGTGAAGACCAGTCCTGTAGAGTCCCACCCACATAGATACACACCCTTCCTATGAGTGCGGGTGGCAGGGCAGAGCACCCCACACACTGGGCACACCCTCACTAAGGACTGGATGGAGTCACAGAGGCACAGCCTTGAGGTGGGGCGGGATGACACTGCTCCTCTGCCCCAGAACGCTTCCCAGCACCAAGGGCAGTGCAAACTGCTCCCTTCCCTATCCCAGTGCCTGGGCAGAATCATATCCTGCCTTCCCTCCACCCCCCTGCTCCCTAGCCCGTTTAGGCTCCCCCAGGAGCACAGGTGCTGCAATTTTGCCCGGGCTTTACATAGTTCATGCAAGGGAGGCGAAGAGCCCATCCCCCATAAGGGCTAGTGGGACTTAAGCCCTAAATGACTGAACTAATAAATGAATAGGCAGCATTCTACGTACACAAAGATACACACACAAACACACACCCCTATCTCTCTGCCTTCCTAGCTAGAGTCTTATACCTGGGAAAGGTATCATGCAAATTCAATAGCAATGATATATTTAATAGTATATATTAATATGATTTAAATTAATCAGTTATAGACTATGAATATGTATGGCCAGGTGTTATTACATACATACATATAAAGAGAGCTTATAGGTATAAGGTATTTATATACAGCAGTAATTTGCATAAATACGGTAGATGTATGGTATTTATAAATATTATTAGTAATACTATAAATAAATCTACTCTATGCAAATTACTATGGCATAAATACAATATTCAGATTTAATTTTGCACACTAATGAAATGTGAATACATATATTCGTTTTGCAGATCACATGGAATATGAACATGAATCATATTCTATTCCACTATAGGCACATAGCATATGTATTCTATAGCGTTTGTGTCTATATGCACACTCTCACTGCCTCTGCCCTATATGAATTTAATTTAGAAAAGCTGTTTCTCTCTTTTCTTTCTTGTCAAGCACAGCAACGATCTTTCCACAGAAGAATAAATCTCGCCGTGAAAAATCAAATATTGCATCAATACATCCCCGCGACCTAATTAGACCGTCATTTGTCTTAAAAATTTCTGAGACAGAGAAGTTGGCGAGGGAATGGGCGGGAGGGGGGGCGGACTGGGGAGAAAGAATTGGTGGGAGGAAGCTTGCTCTCCTGACACCGCTTTCAGGCTTGCCAGGCAGCTCGTACCTGACTCTGTATTGATGCCAATCTGGATGGAGTATTCAGTGTAACGATTTCAGCAGCATGATTAGGGGCCACGCCTAGCGGGTCGGATCAGTGGATGCCAGGGACACCTGCAATCCCCACTTCACTCCTGGGATATGTTCGTTAAGAATTTAACGGGGACAGATCCCTCCAGTATTGATGCCCCCATCGCATAATCCGTTTCAGCTATAAAATATTATTTCATTTTGTTAAGACACTCGCTCGGAACGCACCTTCCTCGACGCACTCACAGTAAATGAAGCGCTTTAGGCAAGTGAATTTTAGGAGGGGAAAAATAATCGTGAAAAAAAACTAGGCGCAGATCTAGTGAAGACTGTCTCTCCAGTGGTCTGTGTCCACATGTTTACAGACACAAGATGGGTGAGATAATAGGTTTTGTTGGCGAAAGAGACAAGCTTTCGAGCGTACACAGAGCTCTTCTTCAGGGCTGTGTAAGCTGGACAGCTTGTCTCGCTCACCAGCAGAAGTGGGTCCAATAAAAGATTCCACCTCATCCACCTTGTGCCTCTAATATCTGGACCTGGGACCAAAATGGCTACAACAAGGCTCCATATATGTACACACTGCGGCAGGGGCGCGATCTACGGGTCCCTCTCCAGAAGCCATTAGTATGGGGGGAGAGGGGGAGGATTTAGTGTTAATTATATTGTTATTATTAATTAGAATGCAGATAACTAAGCAAACCAGATCAAATTGCATCCCCACATTTTGTCGTGTGTACAATTTTATTTGCCTTGACTCAAACCCTGGGGGCTTTTAAAATGTAGAGCTGCTCCCCTATTAGATACAGACGTGGCTATGCAGTGACATTACAGGGACAAAGTAGGAATGAAAATCAGGAAGAGGTTTTTGTTTGTCTGCGGGGGTTTCTTGATCTTGTAAAGCTGAGACAATTTTTTACCTTTCCAGCGACAGAAATTGTTGCTTTTTGCACCGAGTTTATGCACGCACACACTTTGTCTTTTTTCAGCTGCAGCTTTTTAACGGAGGCAATAAAAAGCTTTGTTATTTTTGTTATAAAACGACACGATTGTATTTTTAAATGAGATAGTATTCAAGCCAAAGTCAGGTCTGCATCTTCTCCCACTGCTCCGGCCACATCAAAGGTACAACCAGGGAGCTAGAGACAGAGCTGTAGCTATAAGTGTGAGCTTCCTGGATTTGGGGTGTTTAAATCTGACCGTCATTATTTTCATCTGTTTTTCAGGAATGCATTTTTAGAAAAGAAAAAAAATCCCTTTTTAGACAAGAAACAAGAAATAACTTGAATGGGAGTTAGGAAAGTATCTAACAGATAATGCACACACACACACACACTTATATTTACTATAGGTGTATAGATAGCCGTGTATCTACATTTACTAGTTTTCATAACACGTATCCCCTAGCGCAGTCCGATCTATCATATAAGAAAACTCAGAGACACTGTAGCAGCCTATTATATTTAGACACCAACAAAACTAATTTTATACTCCTGTGATTTGCATTCTTCAATATTTCAAGGCTCTTCAGTCAAATTATTCTTTTATATTCACTCGTGTCCATGCTCAATCCGGGCTAGATCCTGCTCTGTATGAAGCCAACAGGAATGTTGCCCTCCGTGAACTAAAATACCTCTGGATGCATGTTTAAAACTGGAGTAAGATGCACAGGGAAGCTCATTTCTAACCCAAAGCAATGTACAGGGGTTGTCGGGATTCAGTGTAACACACAGTGGAGGCTTTCTTCTTAACAGCTACACGAACATTGGTAAAACAACCGACAGCTGCTGCGTTTGCATTCGTGCTGGTCGGTGCTGACCGGGAGTGTATCAGCCAGGAACCCCCATCACTCTCCAGCCCAGCCGATTTCCGTGGGCTGGGACGGCGCCCGACGGCCGGCTCCCTGAGAAGAGGCTGGAGAGGAAGACAGACCCTTCCCCTGGGCTGCCAGTCGCGCCCCCTCCCAGTCAGAGACCCCAGCCCGCAGGCGGTGCCGGCTCCGGGCCCTACCTGGCGAGACGGATGGGGACGGGGGTCTCCAGAAGTCCTCGAACTCCGACGCTCTGTCGCAGACGCTGCCCTCGCAGCTGGGAGCCGAGTCGGAAGCGCCATCGACGGCCTCGCTCAGGTGGGATTCCGGGGAGGAGCGGCCCCGGGGGGGCTCCGGGTCCCGGAGGCCGGAGCTGCACAGACCCGTCTCTCCCGGGATCTTACTGTCTGCGGGGGACAGAGGCGAGAAGGGCCCTTACCCCGGGGCAGGTGGGGAGAGCAGGACCCCTCAGCCCGGCCCCTGCCTCCTCGCCAGGGCAGCGTCCCCCTGCGGGCAGCCTCGCAGCCTCGCCGGGGCCCCAGCAGCGCCCCTGCCCCAGCACCCGGCAGCGTCTCCCTCTGTCCCCGCCGCTTCCCCAGCTCAGCCCCGGCCCGCTGCTTCTCGGGGAGACCCGCAGACGCGGCCCTTGCCAGGGCTGGGCTCGGGCCGGCTGCCCAGGGGTCCCCATTCAAACACTAGCCGAGGGCAGCGGGGTCCTCGGGGCGGCAGGGGGCAGCCCCCTGGACTGCAGCTCCGGCTGCCGCTTGCCAGGCGCTGAACTCCCCCAGTACTGGGCGGGTACCTGGCAAGGGGCAGGCACGGGGCAGAGACCTGGTCGCTGGGATCCCCTGACCCTTGGGCCGCATCTCCCCACCCCGCCTCCTCCAGTGCCCCATTGCTACAAGCCCCCGTCCCCCCCCCCCCCCCCCCACACACCGGGGCCGCGTGCCTTTGCCCCGCGAGCTCCCCCGAGCCCCCAGCCCGCCCTCCCAGGGCTCTGTGGTTGCCTGCAATGAACTGGCACAGCCCCCTTGGCGCAGGTCAGGCTCTGATCCCCCACCTCCATCTGTACCGCTCCAAGCCGTGCCCGGAGCTGCAGTGCCGCGGTCTCCGACCGCAGGTGCCCGCCCTACCTGCACAGATCTGGGCCAGCACGCTCTCCAGGCGCAGGCTGTAGTCCTCGTCCGGAGAGCGGGGCTGGTGGTAGCTGTGCGCCTTCTTACTCTTCACCAGGAAAGACCTGGGCATGGTGAGGCTGCTCCTGCAAGGCGAGGCGCCTGTCACTCTCCGCGACTGTGTCCGCGCCCCGGACACCCCAAACCACTAGCGGCGCCACCCGTGAATCGCCTTAAATCCCCAGCCTTGGCTGTGCTCTGCGGAGAGATTTGACAAGCCATTGGTTAGGGATCTCCGGGGGGACTGGGAATCGGGACAGGGCGGGGAGGGGCGAGGGGACGGGGCAGGGGAGGAGCATGCGTACAGGACGCTCCGTTCACCAGGTGGCATTCAGACAGGTGGTTTCAAAACAACGCATCTCCAGACGCATCAGCCCCAAACGGGGCTATCGGCTGGGGGGGGGAGGGGGCTGTTCGTTTCTTAGGTGTCTCCAACCAGTTCGGAAATCAAACCCGCAGCGCTGCGAAGGAGCGACACTGCTCGCTCACTCTGTTGTTACTCAAACGCTCCCCCCCATCTGTCATCAGGAAGGTGGGCTGGTGGGAGAGGGGCTGCTTGCAGCTTGTTGAGCAACAGGCATCCAACAGACGGGGAGAAATAACACGCTAGTCTCCTTTTGCACCATCCTCACCTTGGAGAGCTCACACGGGAGCAATCTACCCAGGCAGTGCAAACGAGGCGGATCATTTAGTGTGCCAATTTACCGAGGTTAAACTGAGCCCATTCGTCACTCACACAATCCTAGCAAAAGACTGAAAGGCCCCACAAATATCACTGTGCTCTCATTCCCCCCTGAGACTGCTAATAACAACAAGTAGCTGGACAAACTGATTTCTAACCCAACTTTTGTGAGATGTCTGAGTTACAATAGCTTAATGTGTTTATAATTTGCATGGCTGTAAACATTTTAAAAGCTCATCAGCGGCGATATTGTGCCCAGGAACAATATGGGTTATTTGCAGGCTCTTCCCTCTAAGAGACTCTCAAGCAATAGCTTGTATCGGATTGATTTTGTGGGAGGTAAATTGCAAACAGAAAATAGCGGTGTCTTGCTCTGTTCTGCTGCGCTTCAGTACAAGGAGGGTCCTGGATACTGAGTACCGGGAGAAGGGAAAGTTTATTCAAGCACATCAGGAAAGAAATGCCAGCTACGCGCCTGCTGTCTGCTGCTGCTGGAAAGTAAGGAGAGCAGCAGCCTTCAACCTGCTGTCTGATCTCTGGATAATTTAGTGAGATCACCAATGTTCATTTACCCCTCCCCCTACTCAGTTAACAATCCCCGCCAGACACGATTCTGTGTGGACGGTCTCTTCATATTTGCATTAGATCAAAGAGCTAAAAACCAGCAGCGAAGCGTAGCCGCCTCGGAGACAACACACTTTCTGAAACGATGTAACAATTGCATGTCATCTGGACATGTATGAATGACACCGTATTTCTGTCCCAGAGACTGTCTGCTAAAAGGGTTTCGGCGACATCAGTGTAAATGAGATTAATTTGCTTAGAGGGAGGGAGTATAATTAAATCTACAAACTAAATCCAAAATCGGAGAGTTATCCAGGTTGGAGTACTGTGGTACATCCCGGTCCTAGTTCAAATATCCGCTGTTGAATAAACTTTAAAAAAATATAAAATTGTAAAAACATTTTAACTGTAACATGGAAAACCGAGATCTCTCCACACACTTGGATCGAAAAGAAACCTGGGGGAGAAAATCTGTTTACAGGTTTCCTTTGGGGTCTCCGGGGCCAGGGGTTTAACGAACAGGCGGGTGTCCTATTCAGATCAGCTCCGACACATGGAGCCTCAGAGCTGGGCTGACAACACCTGTACTACTCGGCATTTTGCAAAAGAGAAATACCCCATGTCTGAGCTCTCATGCGCGTTTGTTCTCCGCCAGTGCCGGCTCGCCAGTCCTGGGGTAAGGTAAGGAGCCAGCCTGCGCTTTCTATGAGGAAAGAAAGGAAGACGCTGGATCTTGTCCACGCACGGCATTGAATTTAAGCTGGGTTTGTTTTTCCGCTAATGGCTCCAGTTTGTTATGAACAGCTAAAAGAGGTCCTGTCTGATTTCATTTACCCTGGTAGGGCCGGGCCCAGAGGGGAACCAATCAATTGCTGCATATACATTTTTTCGGCTGGCAGCTCTGTAATTTACAATACCAGCAATCAATCGATTGCCTTTCATTGCTCACGCAGGTGTTTTAATATTTATTCCGCCTCGTTTATTTTTTTGCCATCGAAAAGATGTAAACAAATATAGTAAATGTTATTCAGTGGGATCATTTTTAATCCCCTGTACATTAAAATAGAGGTTCTCTTGGCAGGATCGCCCGAAAAGCAGTTGTTCTCTTCGCTACACTGTTTTCAGATCGTTCTGTTTGCTAGAAACTGGTGGGAGAGTTTCTCCCCTGTTCCACCTGTTCCTTAATTCATCCTTGAGAAGGAGGCACTGTTAACTGTGAAAGGAAGGGGGTAAAAATCAAAGTGGCTTGATAAATTTGTTGACATATTTATCATGAGCCACAGGAGCCTGCCCTCTATTGATTCACTAACACCGCAGCCTAGGGGGCCTCAAAAAGATTTCAAACACTTTAAAAATCTCAACTTCTTTTTTTTCCCCTCCAAAAGCCTGGGCACGTCTGTGCGATGGGAGCACACCCCAGCTTCGCTCCTTGCGTGCGCTCCAACACGTGTGCGCGCGCAGGGCTGTCCACACTGCCCTTCTTGTCTTTCCATGCACTCCTTCCACACACCGTTGGAAAGGAAAGTTACTTCGTTGCCTGATTCCAGTTTGTTAGAGTAAGTCGCTGCTTTCTCTGAACAAGACAAATCGGTTTCCTTATCTCAGTTCTGGCTGCTGCTTAAATCTGCGCTCCCTCCTGAAAGCCAAGGCCAAATTTTCGGAGATGGCAGATAATCCCAGCCAGTAAATGTGGGAACACGGTTTCCCAAACCCACCTGGCATTATCCGACCCACCCGTAAGGAAGTGAAACATATGGCAGGAACTCGGGGAGCGTTTAACCAACTGTTCTAGTCCCTCTGCGCCAGGAAATCAAAGCGAGACCCACATTCCCCAGTGATGCTGGCGCTCGGGCTTTTCGGACACATGGATGTCAGACTCCGAGCCTGTCCCGGGGTCAGTCAGTGATGCGTCGAGGGCGCAGGCCTCGCTTTCCAGCAGCCTGTTACATTTCGGCCTCAGTTTTATCTTTGGGCAATTCGTGGTTATTATTCGCCACGTGCTTTCGTTTCATTTTCTCTCCCCGCTCCCAGTCGCCGGGCTGTTATTAACTGTTCTCCTCGCTGCATAGAAAGAGGGAGGGAGGCAGCGAGCTGCTCCACCCGCACAGCTGGGCACTCTCAGCCCTTCGCAGGAGGGCCGGGCAAAGCCAATTCCGTTTCCCTGCAGTGCCCGGGGCGCACTGCGCTCCAGACGGCTGCTGGAGAGGAACCGAAGGGGAGTCCGTTTTCCTAGCAGAGCTGCCCTCTGCCACCACGGGGGAGACGTGTGTCTAACCTCCCCACCCCTTCGGGGCTCGGGGCAGGGCCGTCTCCCAGGGGCTGAGCAAAGAGCAGCGCTGGTAGGTTTGTCCTTTGCTCTCAGTGAGACCCGCGGGCCAAGGGGGACAGGACATTTCCCCCAGTCGGCCAGGGGCGCAAGGCAAGAAAAGGAAAGTTGCTTACCATTTGGAAGCGTGGCTGCAGACAGCTTTGTGCCACACAGGCTGCTAGTTTAGGTGACTTTAAATTTAGCCTCCCTTAAGGAGAGCTGGTGTTTGACTTTGCCCTTTTTTTTCTCAACTCCTTCTGAGCTCAGCCCCCAAAACCACAAATTCCACTTCCTGAGCGTTAGGAGCTTCTGCAACAAAAAATGCGTTTAAAAACCTATCAAATCAACACCGGGTTTTCTCTCTCTCTCTCTTTTTCTCTCTCTCTCTTTTCCTTAAATGAAAAGGTCTTACCGTATTCAGCTTGGCAGGGTTCGCCGGGGTGACATCCAAGTGTCATTCTGCAATAGGGCGTTTCATTTCACTCGGGGTTCTGCTCTAGAAATTACACACAGCGAGCTGAACTATTCTTGGATCCTCTTCAACTTCCGCAACGAGAACAGGTCACAGATTCAAAACACAGATTGACTCAAAAAAGGGGGGCGGGGGCTGGGGACTGTGCTCGGAGGAGCTGACACAAAACTTTCAGGGAAATTCAAACCTCTCAGCTCAGCCCCCCCTGCGGTCCTAGGAGGGCTGAACAACCCCCACGGGGCAGTCTAGACGGGGGTTGTATTATGGATCGGGTTTAAGGCAGAGCATTGTACAAAGGAGCCCTTCCCTAGCCTAGAATTAACTTGTTGTGGAAACTCTTTTGGGATAAATACACCCAGCGTCGCTGAAAATACCGTGACACCCAAACCTAGAGGTTTGCTCATTTCCCTTTGGATTTAGGTAATGGTTAAATATGGAAGAGGTAGGCGAGATTCTCTCTCCCCCCCTTTGCACAGAGGTTATTGTAGCTACAGAGTGATTCAAACACCGCAGGCAAGAGACACACACTCGGGAAACGACTGCCTTAGAGCAGCCTTCCTTACCTAATTTCCGGTGGTCAGTTTGCTAAATTAGAAAGGATCTGTGAGAAAGGCGCTTGCTGCACGCAGCGTGCAGACCTGAAGTCACCAGAGCTAGTGGGGAAGGGGCGGAGGAAAGAACAGCTCGGCGGGTGCACCGTTATTATCCAATTTAGCAGCGCTTTACTTACTTCGTGCATGAAAAACGTCCTTTAAAATTAGAGAGGGGCTCAAACCACTGCCTTCGCCGCTGCAGTTCCCCTGCCCCGCTCCCCAAAGTTTGCGGGTGCTCCGATCTGGGCTTTTGGCTCCTCTCACTATAAAAGAGAAGGGACAATTGATTGACACAGTTCTCATTCTGAGCTAGTCTTGAATTCTGACACATCCCAGCGCCCTAAATCCGGGCTTCTAAGATCCCGGCATTTGATCTGGCCCTTCTGAGGTACACGATTTCTTTTGCCATGCACCACAGGCAGAGTAAATGCACACCCTGGAGGGGAAAGGCTAG